TTATGTTACATGAAATATGAAGCTAATGATGGCCCATTCAGAATCATTAGATACTGAGCCTTTGAGGTTCATCTCTGTAACCGCGCGACATTTAAACCTCTGCTTCACTCCGATGCCGTGCTTTTATTTATTATTTATTCATAACACATCAGGGCTCGCTTGTTCATAAGCTCCAGATGTGATAGCTTTTTAAATTTTCATGCAGTTGATTGCACTCTTTGTTGGTGAAATGCTCTGACTGCCTCTGCAGGTGGTTTGAGTGATGAGAGAAACGTCAGGCGTCTCGGACTTGTTTTGAAATTACAGCTAATTTCAGAAACTGTCTTTATACGACTTCTCTGTATAACTCCATTTTCAGCTGCGGTCCTTTTTTCTTCTGCTCCTCCTTTGCAACTTGTCTCCATCTTGTAAAAAAACAAAAAACAATCACAAAACAATTTGTTCTCACCACACAGACTGCGTTTTGTCTAACTGAACCTGATCTAAAGGATAAAACCTGAACTGTAAAGCTGTCGCCCTCCTCCTCCTCCTCCTCCTCCTCCTCCTCCCAGAGCTCCTCCATGCTACCACTACATCAAACAAAACAAACGCTTGGAGCTCCGCTTTTTCACATATGAATAACTTTACCGGAGAATCACACAGCAGACTAATTTGCATCAAGATTGCTCTATTTTCTGTGCTAAGCAGGCACTGCCGGATTGTTTTCATACAGCACTTTCCACAGATCCCATTTGCTAAGCAGTATTTTTATATATTTAACGTAGATGAGCTTTCACTCTGTTGCAGACATTTTGTGTCATTGTCTGCTACATATCCAAGTGGAAGTCTTTAACAACAGATCTGAACTGCTAATGTTATCTGAACCACAGGCCTGTTAGTATCCCAGCCTCCTTCATGGCAAAAAAACGGTTCATTTAGATTCAATTCAGTTTTGCTTACATAGTAAAAAAATCACCCGACAGTCTCCTCAATGCATTTTATATTGTGAGGTAAAGACCCTAACAATCACACAACCCCCTGTGAGCAAGCACCAGGTGACAGTGGGAAAGAAAACTCCCTTTTAACAGGAAGAAGCCTCCTGCACGACCAAGGAGGGGCGGGGCCATGTGCCACGTGCAGTTAGGGGTGAGCAGAGGACGACAGGACAAGGACACACTGTGCAAGAGAGACAGAGATTATTAATAACCATTGCAGAGTGGTGTATAAACAGTGCATCATGGGAAGCCCACAGCAGCCCGGACCTACTGCAGCGTGAAAACGGGAGGATTCAGGGTTACCTGATCCTGCCTTAACGATATACTTTATTAAAAAGGAAAGTTTTAAACGTAGTGAGGGTGTCTGTCTCCTGAATCCAAACTGGCACCAGTGTCACCAGTGTAACCAGCAGCAATGCTCCCGTGCACAGCAGATCCTGTCTAACCTCTTTTATCGATTAACGCTTCAGATCTATTTTTGGCTTCATGATGCAAATTGTTAACAT